TGTTAGTGAATAATAAATAAAAAGTAATCGAGAAACTGAAAGTGCGAGTGACATAGAAGGTAGGGTTTAAGATATCCTGCGAACAACATATTTCAAAATCCGAAGAAACTTCTTTTTGTCAAGAATAATCAAGGAAGACACTGCTTGCTGTTAAATAAGTATGATACATAATACTTGGCAACGGAAGAGTCTAGGACCCCACATATGATGCAAATCATATCATACGTTGAATGGTGGTTCGGTGGGGGGTTTCACTAGTGAGTCAAGAAGACGCGGAAAAAATAAATGTCTACCGCAAATCTTGTCGTATTCTGTCAGCTGAAAAATAAATAAAGCAGTACAATTAAAAAATAAGCAAAAAACTATTTGCGAAACAAAGGACTTTAAAGAAAGCGTCGCTGGCAAGCTTAAATTTAACAAGGAACGCAAGTAAGTTCCAACCGATGGGAACGGTAGATAATAAGCGCTGTATACCCTCACACAAAACTGTGGGGTATATTTTGGAGTTGCCAGCTAAGTGGAGTTATACAGACTACCGAAACTGAATGTTTTTACAAGTTTTCTGGAAAACACGGTTAAATTTCAGTAGTGTTGAAAATGCGATTTCCTGGTGGCATATCAGAAGGAAAGGAGACCTTCACCGGAAGAGATGTGTTGTAGGTCTGGCGGTTCGAGTAGCCGCTTTGCATACCCCCCTTCAGAGACTGGGGTGTCATGCATACAGCTGTCCTTATATGGCGAACTGTGTTTGAAACATGGCCCGTCAATGCCGCCTGTGTGGTCGCATTCGGCCTGCATTTCACCATGAGCTGAATCCCGCCGCGAATTACGTGCGCGAGGCGCCTGAACTGTCTGTAATTGGGAAAAACTGTTCTCCGACGGGCCGTGACCTATGCACAGCTCACCTTCCTTCACAGATGCCTTGCCAACTATGTTATGTCAAAATGCCTAAACTAAAAGGCCCTCGTCAACACCGTACTGGTTAAACAAATCATGTTGCGTCATAGCCAGCGAATAAAAAGGGTACTCATAGAAGATTGTCTCCCATACGACCTTTGTAAGTATCGATCAGGATAAAAGAAAATAGTATGAAGCGCAAGTGAACCCAATCATTTTCGATGGAAGAGGAATTGGAGGAAAAACGTCACGTTCTTGGACGTTCTCGTCTGCCGCCAACCAGACGGAAAACTGGCGGCGTCAGTCTACAGAAAACCGACGGGCAAACAGCAAATGCTCAGTTACAACGGCAAACACCCATTGCAACACATGCTAAGCTGTGTACACACGCTATACCGATGTGTGAAGACTCATCGCAGTACGCCAGCCGCCAAACTGGACGAAATGAAGATCCTTCAAGAACTCTTCAGAGCCAACGGTTATCCATGAGCATTCGTTAAATGGAGCCGAAAAAAACCGCGGAGGCGGAATGAACATAGTCAGCCGAAATCATGGCGGAGCATTCTGTATTTGAAAGGGTCTCCGAAGCCGTGGCTAAAGGCCTCGCGCCGCTCGGAATAAACGTCCACAGGACCGACTTAACAATCGGCTGGCAAGTGATGAGGACAAAAGACCTGATCCCTAAGCAGGAGATGTCAGCTGTTATCTACCGACTTCATTGCAGCTGTGGAGGGTGTAACTACGTTGGGGAAACCGGCCGACAACTGCAAACGCGAATTCACGGGCATTAATTGGCCGGGCGAAGGTTGGACCCATATTCGGAGGTAGCGACCCATGCGGACCAAATAGGACACATCTTCAACTTTGACGCCGTTGAGATTGTGGGCCGTGGTGGTGATCATTCGGTGAGGCAAGTGTAAAAAGCCTGGATGCCCACCAACTGCTCTGTCAACCGTGACGTCAATTTGCCTTTTTCTATGCAGCCACACAGGCGTCATTGGGGGCGTAGCATCAAACAAACTGCGTTATATAAAAGTAGTTGTGCGCAGGACTTCTCAGTCTCTGAATTTGCGTAGACGGAACGGCTACTCGAAACCCCAGACCCTCAATATGCCTCTCTTAGCGAATGTCTCATTTTCTTAGGATTTGTATTTTCTGACGTATCGAAATCTCAAACCTATCTTCTCTAGGAAACTCTCTACTGCCTTTAAAGTTACAACTCGTACACTTGCCGCGCCCACAGATGAGGATTCTATCAGCAACTTATGTTCAAATACTCTAGGAAATGTTGTTTGGGAATGCTGAACGTTAAATTATATTCATATTTCTGGCGAGTTCAGTCTCTATCGATAGCGTCAATGATGCGGCATGTTTGGACGTCGGGTATGAAAAGATGGTTCGCTTTTGCTACCAAGTTACCTGAGCCTCGCGAGGGTTACGGTGGACCGTCGATGACTATTAAGAGAGAGACGGAGAAATATCCTTTGCTTTGAAAACATCATTTAATTTTTTAGAAGGCCACCTCAGTCTCCCTTGTCGTTTCGGTTTGGCATTTTCAAAGAAGATTTTTGTATTCTGGGCATATAGCAGCAATATAAGTAACACTGATCATAAAAAATCAATTTCTCAAGAGCCTCGATGGGGAGAGTTTGATGTCGAACTCGTAACACTGCTTCACATAGCTTTGCGTTCCGTCTGACATGAACTCAACAGTAGGAGTCCGTTTCTGATCGCGTAGTCTACCTCAGTTGTCGATCCTGCCGTGTGAGTGGACTCGGGTTGCGGAGCGCGTCGGAACTTGCCGACGATTTAGCATGAAACACAAAAATAAAACCAATTACTTTCAGTAGGTTTGTTGAGATTTTTGAAACGAAGTGACAGGCTCCTCTAGCTCTCTGAATTAAGGACCTTACCACTGGTCACTGGTACCAGACCAACCCATCTATTGGTGATTTGCCATCGGCATATCACAGTGCCGTCATCGGGCTCTGTTTTGCTGTAACGCCTCAGAGGCGGCGGTGGCGGGCGATGTATGAAACAAAGACGAACAGGAGAATGTACAATTCGTCAGTAGACACCTTTTTCGGTGAGCAGATTTTGCAAACCGCCGGAAGAAGCTCGTTCCTTATCCGACGTCTATGCTTACATGAGTTTTTTTGGCATTAAGCCGCACGATAATTACTATCAAATGGGAATGGAAAACAAAGCACAGAAAGAAATGGGAAACGAACTACAGAATTTCAACTTAAATTTTATGGGATAGTACGCTTGCAAATAGCGCGAATATATGTCACATGAAAAAATAACTGTGCGGTGGAAATACTGAGGACAGAGAGAGCATGCGAACCATCATAGAGAATATCGCGCCATTCCAACGAAATGAGAGCCTGTAGAATAGAAAACGCGAGTTTGAGGAAGCCAATGAGGAGAGGGGATTGCGATTGCTGTAACAATAACCTCATTTTCCGGTAAATCTGAATTCAGTCAAATCTATTTTCAGTACGAAAGTCGGCTAGAGGGCAATGGGAAAAGCCGGCAATTGTTATTGATTACACCAGCCGCTACACTGTTTATCTGTCTTTATCCACTGAAAAGTATTGCCCGTGCGTGATGCTGATATGATCGTGTGACTGCAAGTGACTAATTACCGCATCCTCTACTCTTCTCGGTTTATTTTTTTGGCCCAACACATACTCCTTTTGAAGATCGCCGGACAAGAGCTTTATTAGCCTGACGTTTCGGATTCCTACTCGAATCCATCATCAGAGACAAAAAAGCAGAAACGGGTGGTTGTTGCACAAGGGGCTGCGGTATTTATAGGATGCAGCAGCCATGCTACCGCGTACCTATGAACGTTCACGGCTTCCCCCTTCATCCAAGATCGTCGCACGTGGTGTGATCACTGCTTGATGGCCGACATTCGAGTCGATAATTGCTGCAATTTCATCACGTGCGTCGGATGTTGGCGTGAGGATTGCTCGACCATCTAACGCACAGACCCCAGTGTTGGTAAAATTGTTCACATCTGCGCTCCCCGCATGGTTTGTTACTTCGCCTAGGCGAAGTTTTAGCACGGGAGTGAGAAGATCGTTGCACTTGTTGATGGACTGGGGGCCAGTAAACCATGATTCCAGTATCTATCGGCTCACGCGGTTGTCACCTCTTGCGAGAATTTCGGCCTCATCTCGTCGAATGAGCCGCAACTTGAGAGCTATTTTCATTTCTCCGCACCGCTGCAGCGTGTTCGGCCATTGTCGTTTGGAGTTGTCTTCCGGTTTCTACGACGCAGTTGCTTTGTCCGCAACTGCACAAGATCCGATATACGACTCCAGACGTTTCTAGCCGTGGCAATGGGTCTTTCGGTTTCATTAACTGACGCCTGATGGTTGCCTCCGGTCTGTGTGCAACTCCAACCCCAAGTGCTGCGAGAAGGCGGCCGACAGCTTCCGAAACGTTCTTGACATACGGAAGTGCCCGCCAGGATTTGGTGTCCATGCGATTAGGCCTTTCGTCCATTTTGCGTATGCTCCGGTCGGCGAAGTTGGGCGGGTAGCCATTGGCTTTGAAGACCCGTCGGATGTATTGTAGTTCGGCAATCTTTTCTTCCGGCTCACTGCAGTGCGTTTCGACACGCTGATAGAGCGTCCTTACACAACTGCGTTTGTGACTGATTGTGTGGTTGCTGTTGAAGTTCAGTACTTGTATCGTATTTGTTGCTTTCCTGGACACTTTGCTTTTTAGTCCACCACAATCCTTGCGGCATTCGAGGACATCCAGGAAGGCCAGCTGGTTGTTTTCTTCCTCCTCCATCGTAAATTGAATGTCCGGGAAGGCGGCGTTGAGAAGTTCTTGGAATGTCAACACCTGATCCTGTTCGATGACGACGAAGGCATCGTCCACATACCGGGCCCACAATTTTGGTCTGTGGTGTTGGAAGACCAGTGACTCTAACCGTTGCAGGACTGCCTCGGCGATGAACCCCGAAATCCGCCAGCCCATTGGTGTGCCCTTCACCTGTTCGTAGATTGTGCCGTCGAATGTGCAGTACGTCCTGGGACAAAGTTTCAGGAGCTGAAAGACTTGGGCGTGTCCAAGACGGTTCTCCGTTTCAGCGTATTTGCTTTGTAGTAGCAGCTCAATTTTTTCGATCGCAAGGTCCTGGGGAATAGAAGTAACAAGAGATGTAACATCAAAAGATATCATGACATCATTTGGATGGATGCTTACGCCTTTGAGTTTCTCCAGGAATCGTGCTGACGAAGAGACCGTAGTGTCTGACTCAGCGGTCAGGAACTTGAGACGCCGGAACAGCCACTTAGCCAGTCCGTACGTTGGAGTCCCTTTGAGTGACACGATGGGTCGGAGAGGAGCGCCGTCTTTGTGCACCTTAGGGAGGCCATCGACTCGAGCCAAAGCCGTATCTTGGAGTCTAGCCATGCGTCTGTCTGTCGGTGTTATTACACCTGATTTTTCCTTTATTTGGCTTGTCGACAGTGGCACTAGAAACAGTATCCATCCGCGTGATCCACACATTTGCAAACTCTACAGGACCTCGTATCGCCCTGGCCGCACATTTTCATGAAAGCTTTGTTACGTCAAGAGCATCTTCAAAACCATTAGACGTCTTCTAACACCTTCCAACTAATAAGGGTCGAAAATGACACTGCTATTGCCAGCAACGCGTGGAGCCTTTTGGTGAATCTGGTTCCGTTTTGGCACAAGATGACTACGCCCGGTACAGTGAAAGATTGTTCTGCGCGCGGAAGACCAAAGAGGCTGCAGTCTTGAAGAGGAATGATGCAGGCCTCAGGACGCGACTCATTTGACTTGACTAGGCCACAGCCCATAACCGAATTTTTTGTTAGAAATGACGACCGCGTGAGCGGTGAAGTGCTTAAGTCAGGCTTCTGCGGCTAGCAGTCCACCGACGGCTTGGACAACATTCTTTCTGCACACTGAGTAACAAGTGCATGAGCAACAGTACCTCTAATGCTACCGTCGGTAGGATAAAAGGGTCGGTAAATTCTCACCATGGCAACCATTTCTAATGAAGAAATTACTGCAATTAGCGGCATTAAGTGGAATGTGAAAGCCCCCAACGACTTCAGGAGCAGCCAATTCTTACAGGTATGCGGTGGCATAGCAACTACACCCAATAAATGCCACAATTCTTTCCCATCTATAATGTTTTCTGACGAATTTAAGCATGAGTCCAAAATATCAGTAAATACAATTTTTATACATCCCTTGTTCCTCGCTCTTACACCTGCAGGAGTTTTCTCAGTACAATGTAAAAGGTTGCGGTCAATGCTTGAACTACTTAGACTGGTTTTTGCTATATACCCGCTGGAATTCACACTTATGAATCGGAGAGTAATTCCAAAACGTCTGCCTAGAAATCATGTTCCAATAACTGGCTTAAGTTTTTTCTAAATGTAAAGGCATGTTGCATAAAGTGGCCTGCAGCACAAAAACTCACGGCCCTTCCAAACTATGCAGAACGGAAAAATTGAAATGAAGCCAAGATTCCTTTTTCATAATTTTTGGAAATTTTAAATTCCTTTAAAACTGTGCAGTTTATTAACCGAATTAACTTCTAAGTCAATTCATCTCACCTAAATTCTTCCGCGTAAAATAATGGGTTATTTTCTAAGAATTGATGATTTTCGGACACAATAAAATCGTAAAAATGTCAAAACTGTGTATTTCATATAGTAAGTTGTAGAAAATGCCTTTACTTAGTTATTCAGAACTTTATTTGCGCATTTCGATATAAGTTGTGTATCTGGACACAAAATAACGTTTTACGCCTACGAGTTCGTCGCCTGACAGTGGATCGTACGTTCTATCAAGTATAAAGGGAAAGCTGGAATCCTTTTGTGCCTGTTTTCATCAATTAAGTTAGCAAAGGAGCTTAAATTTGCGACTAGCTGTGAATCTGTAGCAGTCAAGGATTATCCGCTTTCTTCGATAATGAAGAGGATATTCATTTCGTTAAGTAATTCCTATCAGCTGTTTTTTTGGACGAGATAGTTAACTTAGACAATTTCTTGCAAGACAGTTCATACTCCTCTTTACTGGTTTTAAATGTGATGTGGAATTCTGAAACAGGACGAAGTAAAAGTTTGCTTGGGTGTTCAGCCTTATAATGGCTGCCTTATGTCCTACATGTAACTCCATTTGCTTAAAGTTCCGTATGTCACTTCGAAGATAGCACTGGGAACGATGGTATGTTGTTGGGACGTAGGGTGTCCAGCGGTATTCCCACATGATGGTCGTAGTAGGCTGCCCATTACGTGTAGGTGTAGACTACGCCTAGCAATTATTACTGCCACGCAACTCTCATATTTTTCTCCCCAAAACAGGGTTCTGCTAACGGCTATATCCCGGTAACCACCTCGACCGGCTGGTCGAACCGGTATCCGCGTGCATCTCCGAACACGGTAGCTCGGCTCCGTTTGTCGGATGGACCACCGTCTCGACATCTTCGAAACGAGACTGCGCCTCAACCACCTGCTTGCTTTCTATCTGCTTGTTTTCTTTTGTCGTTTCTGTAAGGTAAATGCCGTTTTGTTGAAGCTGTGTGCACAACGTTTATTTTTCAGCAAACAGTTAGCTTAGAGAGGGGCGAGAAAGCTCTGAAAACCGTCTCTTTACCCTCCCCTCCACTCTTAAAAATCATATGGCGATGTTGCTGGGAAGCCCAAGCTAACTCGGGTCCTTCTCTCACTAGACAAGAGCCTTGACTCATAGCCTTGACTCCTCAGCTGTTTGGGACAACTGAGCAACCCTATTTAGGGAAAGCACTGATCACCCCCAAGAGGGGAAAGAGGATAAAATAGGTGCCCTAAACAGATGCTGAGGGACTCCGCCGTCTGTAGGCTGACCGCGGCCGCAGACGCGAAACACACGGTCGAAACATTATTTTTCTACCACCTCCACACAGCCGCCGCCCCAATCCACAGGCTTGTAGGGTGAGTCCGCTCACTTTGACAGCCTGAAATGTTCGTGAACTCTTGGACAATCTGAGGAGCAACCGACCGAAACGGAGAACGGCGACAGTTACTCAGGAAATGGTGCATTAAAAGGTGGGCATCGCTGAACTCAACGAGATCAAGGCCAACTGGAGGAGGTGGTGCCGGCTGCACCTTCTTCCGGAGCGGCCGCCCCAGGGCACAGTGACGGGACGACATCCGGAACGACATCATGGGAGGACAGCCCTTACTGCCACAGGGCACCAACGATCGCCTGATGACCCTCCGCCTGCATCTCTTTGGAGGCATATTCGTCACCATCATCAGCGTCTACGCTCCGCCGATGACCAGCCCTGATGGGATGAAGAACAAACACTAGGTGGAGATGCACGCCCTCTGGCGATTGCGCCGAAGGCGGGCAAGTTGATTTTCCTAGGTAAAAACAGCGCCCGCGTCGGCACGGACCATGCTGCGTGGAGAGTAGTGATGGGCCTCCATGGTCTCCACGGCTCCAATGAGAATGACTTGCGAGGAACATCGGCTCATTCTGGCCAACGCCTACTTCCGCCTCTTGATGCGAGAGAAGGCCACCTAGATGCACCCTCGGGCACTAGACCGGCACCCGCTGGCTTTGTCCTTGTCCGGAGGCGACACCAGTGGGCCGTGCTGCCGACAAAGGGGATTCGGTATGCTGACGGTGGGACCGACCATGGTCTCGTCATACCCCAGATGCGGATTCGCCTACAGCATCGCAGGAGACTTCAAGGTGAACGACCCCAGGAAAGTTGAATATTGATTCGTTGTCCTTGCCTGCTCATCATCATGATTTCAGCAGTGGGCCAATTTAGCGGCTAGCTAGCTTTCCAGTCACCGTTGTCGCCGCCGCCGCTGACGAGAACGTCTCCGTGGAGAACGGATGTTGTCACCTGAGGGACACAGTCTAGTCGACGGCCCGGCTGTCCTCAGTCGCGCATGTCACCAACTCCATGATAAAAACGGGGCCGCCATCAGTGACTCGCTCTCCGAGAAGGACCGACCGCACAAAGCCTACGTCAACCACCCAACCGACGACAGCAAAGCAGCTTTCCATCATAGTCGTAGCTTTGTGCAACAGCGGCTGCGTGAGATTTCGGACGATTGAATGACTCGCAAGGCCGAGGAGGTCCAAGGGTACGCGGACGGAAATGACTGGTAGAAGCTCTCACGTGCGTTCAAATCTGTTTACGGTCCGCCAACCAAAGCAATTGCCCCTCTACACATCGCCGACGGTAGGACCCTAATAATTGAGATAATACGAACTCTGTAGCCATGGGTCGAGCAGTTCAGATGCGTCCTCAACCGTCCATTTACCATTTCCGACGCCGCCAACGCCCATCTGCCTGAAGTGGAGAATTCCGCCCTCTCTCCACAAAACAATCTGGATAGTGCACCAACTCTCCGGAGGGAAAGTGCCCGGAACCGACGCGATCATTGTTGAGATCTACATGCACGGTGACATTTAACTCATGGATTTTCTGACCGCGCTCTTCTAGGAGAAGTCCTGCAGGATCCACTGGAAGCCACAACCGTCCATTTCTATAAGCGAAATGGTAACCGCCATCTCTGCGACAATCATCAAGACATTTCCCTGCAGAACACGGTCTAAAGGATCTTCATTCACATTAACCCCAACAACGGAACAATCATCTGAAATGCGTCTCCTGCGGCTTCCTTCGTCATCGTGTGACCACGGATATGGTCTTTGCCTCCCGACAACCTCAGGAGAAGTCTCAGGAGATACGGACACCATTGTACTCTACATTCGTGGATCTGCCGAAAACCTTCAACACGGAGAATCGCACAGGATTTCGGAAAACCATCCAGAAATTTAGCTGTCCCCGACGATTCACGCAGATGGGACGTCAGCTCCACAATGGCGCAAATCATGGACAATGGAGATGTCTCAGAGGCATTCGCAGTGGTCAACGGATTGAAGCAGGACTGCGTTTTTGCTCCCACCCTCTCCAGTCTCATGCGCTCTGCCATGCTGATTGACGCCTACCATACCGAACGCTCTGGCAACCGGATCGCCTACAGGACGGACAGTCAACTCCTTAACCACCGGCGGATGCAATTCCAGTCCTGTGCATTCACAACTACCGTCCTTGAACTTATCTTCGCCTACGACTGCGCTCTCCGAAGGGACATGGAAAGGGGCATGGGCCTCTTTGCCGGCGTCTGGGACATTTTCGGCCACGAATAAAGTAATGGCTCTGCGTCAACCGCCAACGGGTGCCGCCTGTGTCACACCCCAAATAAACGTGAACGGTGCCCAACAGTGAGTCTTGGACAACTTCACCTACCTGGGCGACACCCTATCCTGCACCGCCAAGGTCGACGATAAACTGGCATGCCGGATCTCTAAAAGCAACCAGGATTCAGCCGTCTGCAAAGCGCAGGATGCAAACGTCACGATCTCAAGCTCAACACAAAATGAATTTACACATCCTGCCGACGTTTCTGTATGGAGCGGTCACCTTGATGGTCTACAAGGGGCAGGCGAGAAGACTGAATTATTCCCTTCTCAATGGTTTTTCATGGATACTAAAGCTGAGATGGTAGAACTGGGTCCCGAACAGGGATTCATTGGAGCGGACGGGAGTCCTCAGCATCTGCGCCTTGCTGAGACAGCTGCCACTGCATTGGAGCGGCCATCTTGTGCGTAGGGATGACGAGACGTTACCCAAACGTCTCTGTTAGGGAAATGTTGCTAAGGGTTCCCACCGACAAGGAGGTCAATTTTATTGTTATAAGGACGCACTGAGGTGTCCGCCGAAACGCCCGCAAATCAACCCAGCCGGCTAGGAAAAACTCGCCCTAGACCGATCGACCTGAAGGAGGACAGTGAAGACAGGTGCAGCGATCTACGAAGCCAATGCATCACAGCCATCAAAGCCAAACGCGAGGCTTGCAAATCTCAATTATGGTCACTCCGCAACGCCAACTCTCAACCATCCCCGGTCTGCCCACGCCGCCAGCGAATGTTCCCAGCACCAAGCAGCCTTGTAGGACATCGTCGTGCGAAATGCAGCACCCTGACTACACCAAATGCTGTCTCATCGTCCGCGCCAGAAACTGAATTTGACCACACTCCCGAACCACCACTACCGTCCTCATCATCTACTCCCTCCTCCTCCTCCTCCTTCTCCTCCTCCACCTGTTCCTCCATTGCCTCAACATCCGCTACGGCGGCTCCCGTACTCATCACCACTGCACACGGTCTTCACACACCAACAAACGTCAACCCCCTATCAACTACGCCAGTAGCGTGAACTCAATCTACGCCTGTTCTCTTTGCCACCGCACTTTCGCCTTATACATCAGCCTGGTTAGTCGCTTCACAAAGGCTGACGAAGTAGTGCCAAAGACGCCAAACTACACTCGCCGTAGTCGTCTCCACTGCTAACAGGGCCCTCGCACATTTACTTAACTCAAGGGCCTATCCGGTCACATGCTTATCTACGACAGTGGAATTGACTGCAGTCGCTACGCACTTAGCACCGTTTGCACATCCGCCGAGCCTATGTTAACTCATACTCCTCCACCCGGCACGTCGACAACCATCAGTTTTATCACATTCAGCACATCTTGCGCAGCCACCATGTCCAGCCCGCCGCACATCCGGTCACCCAGCGGGTCCATCATCAACAGCTCCATAACTGCCATCATCTCTGAAACCGACACAGACACCGCCGATCTTTCCTGTCCGTTCTGTACCCATACATTCGTGCCATCCGCCTGCACTGCCGTCTTTGCGTTCGCGCACTCACCCTTCGCATAGGCCTATTACGCCGCATGCGCATTTACGAAAAGCTGTGGTAGAAAACTGCCCCCTAAACCACATTTCATATCCCCCCCCCCCACCTACATCACGCAACCCAATCTTTCACCACAAGCATCCAAACGACATCTCCCACGCAGGTGGGAAGTGTGCGTATTGATTCTGCCTCCATGCTGCCCTTACTGCATGTGGGATTCGAGTCTGAGGCTATCACGTCGTGCCAAACCATGCTGCCTGAAGGGCTCTTGGTCGTCGCCCTTAATCAATCCACGCAGTCTGCCCAGTTGTGTGTGTTTGTGTGGTGTAACGGTCTGGTGGGCCGTGAATCAGACTGTGGTGGCTCCTCCTTAATGTGACCTACGGCACTCTCTCGCATGTATCGAGTCAGATATGACCCTCTGAATGTTTGATTTTCTGACAATCTTAATGGTGGCACTGAAGACACCGCCAGTCTACATTTTGCAAAGTCAGGAGGCGAATTAGGTCATGTAGTAAATTGGTAAATAAAACATACGAAAATAAAACATAACCCGATTGGAGCATATGGACGTGTTTTAGGACAGCCTCGCACTCTCCACCGAAATCTTCGACACGGCCAAACACAATTTATGTACTTACGAAAAAGTCTGCGACGTCTGGTTAACCTGCCGGCGCAGTTGTGTCAGTTAGTCGTGTCCCCTCGACAAATTCTTATCAATTAACTCACTGCGGGGTATTGTGTAGGTGTATTTTCAATTACATATGCACAATGAATGTGATAACTTATGAAATGTCAAGAGAAACGGTGAAATACGATTTCGGCTCAAAAATCAGGGTTAAAGAATCATAATTCCATGGCGATTTAATTAGCCCAGGACTTTTTTCGCCCGCCTGCAAAAATTGCTATTAATAAAACACAATTAATAAAGTAGCCAGCAATTTTCTATTGGTTGGTCATGCCCTTGTAGATCAAATGTATTTCGTGGAAAAAATGCATCCAAATATTTATTTTTACACATTCGGTAGAACGCTGTTTTGTCTTTAAATTCTATAGTTAAAAGAAGGGTATAATTTGGTTTTGAAAAACTATTAGAAATCCCTGATTGTGCACCCTACCTGCCGTTGCGCTTGCATTCAGGGTTCCTCAATTTTAAACTATACATTTTCCTTGTCCGGAAATTCATGCATTTCTCTAACATATTAATGGCAGACCGTATAGTGGTTCATAAATGTTTTAGTGAATTTAAGCATACTACAATTCTTCCAAACAACATAAGTAAATGCAGAAACACGATAATTTATCAACGGACATTTCACGATCATAAAATACCTCATAATTCGAATTTCCTTTAAAACAGAAGTATACCCTTCCTTTTAGTGTAAACTTTAGAAAGACGTAAGTTTCTACCACGTGAATGAAAGCTCGAGTACTTCTATTTACGTTTTCACAATATATATTTCAATTCACAAGGGTACCAAAAAATCAACGGGAAAATTATACGATACTCCAGTAGCGATTTTCCCAAGCGTAATTTGTGCAGACGGCCAATGGAAGCTCTTTTTTACGACGGAGATCCGGAGGTAACTCAACTGTAAAGGAATTATGCTGCACGTTTGTTGATACAACCAACTGTTCAAGTAATACTTTTGAGAGGAAAACGCATTTCAGAACTTTGGTTAACATTTCATGAGTTCGCACATCTGCTGTATGCATCTACTTGTCCATATAGTTAGTTGCCTTCGCCTAAGCGGTAACTATTTATATCGATAAATCTCTAGTTTCTTGCCTTCGTGCCCGTCTTTCGGACAAAAGTTGCCTTCTGCAGAGCATAAATATAAATTTTTTGACAAGGACATCGGGCTCAAGACGCCTTTTCAAGGTCAAAACCTAACTCTATACGTCGTTTCGCTACCAAAATAGACTGTCTAGCACTAGCGGGAAAAGAAACGGGATCGCTGACACAAGAGATATACTTGCTCGACGTTTCCGACGCACAATAGAATCCGCCGCAAGATAAGAAACCAGATAAGACTAATGATTTGCACGAGTGACGGTATTTGCAGGATGCAGTTGCTGCGTCACCGTATAATTACCAAAATCTAAGGGTATAGAGATTCAATCATATCCTACCTTTATCGCCCTGGTCGCGTTCGAAACTGCATTTCCGCTTGCATTAACAATTCATTTTAAGCAATTGCTCTCAAATCCAAATAATGTTCGTTTATTATACTTTGGAAAGCTAATGACTGCTTAATCTTGCAGCAGCTGTATTAACTCATGAAGCGTTTGTGTTTTCGACTCGAAATAATAACATAAATAGGGTAGTGCTTTTAATCAACGTGAGGCACGATTCCAGCATTATTCAGTTGCCACAAGACGCAACCTTTTAAAAGAAATGCTTTTCGGCCGCCTGCAAAAACTACAGTCGTACTGATTTTCGAAGCTCTTATAAATTCAAATATATTTTAAAAAATGCATAAAAATATTCGTTATTTTTCTTTTTGGCAAAACTTAAGTTTTCCTCAAATTTTGCACGTAAAGAAAGGGTATAGTTCAGTTTCAAAAAAGTTTTAAATTATAAGATGTTTCAAATCATGAAATGCACGTTCAGACATCGTGCTTTCACATTAACCAGTGTTGCTGGTAAAGTTTACAATATGGCTCCTATCAACGCCACGAGTGCGAGGAGCATAGTCAGCCAAACTCGTCGCGGAGCATTCCGAACATTAAAGGGGTCTCCGAAGTCGTGGCTCCATCACTCGCGCCGCTCGGAATAGGTGTTGCCCACAGGCCTGACTCAACAATCCGCCGGCAAGTGATGCGGCCGAAAGATCCGATCCCTAAGCAGGAGATGTCGGCCGTTGTCTACCGACTTCATTGCAGGTGTGGAGGGTGTAACTGCGTTGGGGAAACCGGCCGACGACTGCAAACGCGAATGCACGGGCATTAATTGGCCGGGCGAATGTTGGACCCATATTCGGAGGTAGCGACCCATGCCGCGCAAATGGGACACATCTTCAACCTTGACGCCGTTGAGATTGTGGGCCGGGGCAGCGATCACACAGCAAGGCAAGTGCAAGAAGCCTGGATGTCCACCGGCCGCTCTGTCAACCGCCACATCAATTTACCTCCCCCCTATCTGACTTTACGAACCTACTTAGTGGGGGACAGTCACGGCGCGGGACATTCGGGGCCGTCGGTCATCACCGCGGCCGACGGGGGCGATTCAGGTCACGGTGACATGCGGGTTGGATGCAGCCACACAGGCGGCATTGGCGGATCACACATTGGACAAAGGGCGCCATAAAAAGGGGTGCTGTGCACTGGACCTCCCAGTCCCTGAAGATGGGTAGACGAGTAAACTACCCGAAACGTCGGATCTCAAATAAACCCCTCCCAGTGAACGACCAGTCTATTGTATCTTATACGTTGCCAAAATCTAAATGTTTAAATTGTTTTCAAAGCCATTTGTCAATCATTTTAATCATTTTGCAACCGACTAAATGTTATATTGCACAGTACGTCAATTGTTGTAGAATAGACTCACTTAACCTGCCAAAAGACAATTTCCTCAGGTGTATGCTAGAACATGTATAGTTCTACTAAATAATTCAGCTTTTACAAATCAATCATTCGCATCCTCAGCTACTCTTTTTTGAAAATAACATTACGACATAGGCAAAGGAAACTGAAATAGCTGTTTCTTGCTTATTAGCTGTCGCCCGCCAGTCATGCTCAATCCGAAGTGTGGAACACCTGGGGCTCGTTTTCGCATCCTGTTAGTTAGAAGACCAACGCCTCTAACCGCCAAACCACGGGCTTGTCGTCTGCCGGTTGCGATCGGAAATATACAGTCATGGAGGAGCGCTCACCGATCGTGCTACGGAACTCGCTTTTCCCGTTGATCATTGCGGACAAGTGAGTTCTGAACCGCGATCGTTCAGTACTCCCACCACCACTCTTATTTTTATCCGACAGTTGTTATTTTTCCCAAGCGCAAAGGTTTTGTCCAATATTTATATTACGTTTTTGCACATTTGAAGGTCTGTCACTATTATTTAGAGATTTAGATGCAATCCGGTGAGTATTTTAATAAATAGGCATTACCAGTGAACTGGCGCCTAGTTCGTGTACAGACTTATCTATTATATACATAATGTTGATGATCGAATGGTTTAAACCATATCTCCTTATCTGCCAACCAGAAACCTGCCATCTGCAAGATTACAAAATTGGCATTTGAATAGCCGTGCCTTTCCATGAATGTCATATTTTTCATTATTGCTATTATCTAAGAGGATGGGTTTTACACGCGATGGAAATCCTGCCCTTGTCAAACGCATTAGCGATACTCGATAAGTGCTCCTTTTTCAATATAATTTTTTTACAGAAATATTTGGATCTTTGTTTCATGTCAATTATACTTATGATGACACGTTCATAA